TCAAGTAAGGTATCTTCTGCTTCCTATTGTAATTGTACCAGCCTCACTCCCAAGAGTGGCTAAGAGGGCAACAAGTGGTAGAGAGAGAAGTCAGCTAGGGAACTTCTGCAGGGCTCAACTCTCTTCCAAGGACTAGCTCCTGCCTCACTTACAAGGCAGAAATTTCTGGATTGGGTGATCTTGTGTGATTATCTCTGAGTGCAGAGGATACCTCAGTCATTGTGAAAGTCAAATGGGAACACTGCGACTCAATTTGCCACGTAGAGGTCAGGACATAGACGTCTTAGCGTTCTAGGCCACACCAGCTGCGGAAGTTTGAGCTCCCATGTTCTGGGTCCCGCCGTGGAGCTCAACTCAAGGATTTCTAGAATACAGGACAAAAATGCAAGAAGGAAAAGCACTTCAGAGGCCTGGGTAGATAAGAAAGCAAAACGGCATTTGCATACCTAATACATGATGGATGCTCTGCAGTTAAACAACGAAAGATAATCCAGGTCAAATGTTAACTGTCTGGACAAATCCTTAGCTAGATTAACTAAGAAAAAACAAGAGAAGGCTCAAATAACTAAAACCAGACATGAAAAAGAGGGGACATTAAAACCAGTGCCACCGAAATTTAAAAAAAAAAAAAAGGATTTAGGAGAGTAGTATAAAAAAGTGGATGCCAAGAAATGGATAAACTGCTAGAAACATACGCCCCTATATCAAGATCGAATTAAGAAATAGAGAGCCTGACTGGATATGAAATACTAAGGACATGTGTTCAGCAATCAGAAACCTCCCAACAAAGAAAAAGCCATGACCCATGAAGCCTACCGCACAACCAAACAGGAATTAACACCCAGACTGCACAGACTCTTCCAAAAATTTGAAGAGGAAGGTATGTTTGCTCATTCTGTGAGGCCAACATTACCCTCATATGAAAAGCAGACAAAAACACGACAAGGAAACTGAGAGCGATCGTGAATATTGGGGCAGAAACACTCGATAAAATACTAGCATTCTGATTTCAACAGCACCAGGACTATCCACCGTCACCACACGGAAGTTATTCCTGGAATGCACGGATGGTTCGCGACACACAAAAACCCATGTGATGCACATGAACTAAATGAAGGACAAAAAAGACATCCCCTGACATGGAAAAAGCAACAGACAAGAGTCAACACCTTCTCAGGACACTTAGCAGTCAAGCTGGGAAAAAGAAAAGCAGGGACAATAAACCTGCATCAACGTAACAAAGTCTGCACGAGAAAAGCCCACAGCTCACACCATCCTCAACAGAAAAAGGTGGAAAGTGCTTCTCCAGGAAGATCAGGAACAGGGTAACGGTCCTACGCATTATACCGGAAGACCCAGCCGGAGCAATCAGGCAAGAATGACAAGTAAGAGGCATCCGAGATGTAAAGAAGACGTGAAGGGATCCCTGCTCGCAGATGACCGTGACCTTACACGTAAAAAACCCTGAAGGTTCCAAACACACCCAGACTGTTCGAACTGAAAAACAGTATCAGCAACATTTCAGGACGCAAAAATCAGCACGCACACATCGGCTGCATTTCTGTATAGTGACAGTGAACAATGTGAAAAGAAAGTCAAAACAATTCCATTTATAATACATCAAAAATGAACACAGAAGACGGTGAAGGCCTTGTACACGGAAGCGACAAATCACTGCTGAGAGTCATTTAAAAACATGATACAAATAAATGGAAAACATCCCCACGTGTGTGAACTGGAAAGTCTGACACCGTTAGAATGTCCACGCTCCCCAAAGCGATCGATATGCAGATTCAAAGCAATCCCGACCAAAATCCCGGGGGCGTTTTTGTTTTTTTGTATAAATTCAGAAATTCATCCTAAGATGTATGCAGACCCTCAAGGGACTCTGAACAGCCATAAAAATAGCAGAAAGGAATACTAGAAGGCGGACGTCTTGAACTCCTTGAAGGTACATTACAGAGCTGCAGGAGTCCAAGCAACGTGGTGCTGGTCTGAAGACGAACAGAACAGAATGGAAAGCCCGGAAGTGAACCTTCTCACACACGGTGGAAAGATCTTCAACAAAGACGCTGAGACCACTCGCGTGGGAAAGGACGGCCTCTTCCACCAAGTCCCACCCAGGCGGGACCTGCTGCGTATCCATATGCCAACGAATGACGTTTGGCCCTTATAGGACACACAAAGATGAACCTGAAGTGAACAAAACACCTAAAACTATCCCATTCCTAGAAGAAAACGGCGGACAGTTTTACGAAAATGGACTTTGTGATGATGTGTTAGATCCGACACCGAAAGCACAGGCAAGGAGAGCAAACATAGACAAATGGGACTGCGCCCAGCCTAAAAAATTCTGCACATCCAGGGACACCATCAAGAGGGTGAAAAGGTAACCCATGAAATAGGAAGAAAAAAAAATCTGCACACCATGTATCTGATAATGGGTCTATCCAGAACTTCACCAACAACCTATCTATAACTTAACAACCAAAAATTAACCCTATTTTTAAAAATGGGCAAAGAACTTAAAAAGATATTTCTCCAAAGAAAATACAGAAACAGCCAAACGCAAGTGGACTGATGCTCCACACCATTTATCGTTCGAGAAACGCACATCAAAATGACAACGAGGGGGCGCCTGCGTGGCTCAGGGGGTTAAAGCCTCCGCCTTCGGCTCAGGTCATGATCTCAGGGTCCTGGGATCGAGCCTCACATCGGGCTCTCTGCTTAGCAGGGAGTCTGCTTCCCCCCTGTCTCTCTCTCTCTCTGCCTGCCTCTCCGCCTACTTGTGATCTCTGTCTGTCAAATAAACAAAATCTTTAAAAAAAAAAAAAAAAAAAGACAATGAGTTGTTGTTTCACCCACCTTAGAATGGGTACTAGGGACAACCAAAGACCCACAGAAAATCATTAAGTGTTGGTGAAAACGCAGAGAAACTGGAAGAGCTGTGGATGGGGAGAAAGAAAATCAGATGATGCAGCCAGTGTGGACAACATTACGTTGGCTCCTCATGAGACTGAAAATAGAACCACCATGTAAAGCAAGAAGCCGTCTTCGGGGCACAGAAGCACGGAAGCTGAAAGCGTGGTCTCAGAACCGTATCTGCATTCCCACGCTCACAGGAGCCCAGAAGAGGAAATGACTCCAGTGAGTTTCAGCAGACGAAGGGACAGTGTGTCTAGCGGGACAATGGGAAATAAAGGGAGAGCATCCTGTCTCGTGCTGCAATGTGAGGGCCTTGAGGACATGACGCCACGTTCCAAAAGCCAGTCAGGAAAGGACAAATCCTGGAGGACCCCACCCCACCCCATATGAGGTTCCTAGAACAGTGCAATTCACACGGACAGGATGTGGACTCGTGGTACAAGAGGGAGGCCGGATGGGGAGTCAGTGCTTGATGGGGACAGAGTCTTTGTTTTGCAAGACGAAGACATTTTAGAGATGGGTGGTGGGGACCATCACCCTCGCAATGGCTAACTGGACGCGTCAACGTGTATGAGACGGTAAGTTTTACTGCGTCTGCTTTTAACCGTGATTTAAAAAATGAACTGTACGGGGGCACCTGGGTGGCTCAGTGGGTTAAAGCCTCTGCCTTCAGCTCAGGTCATGATCTCAGGGTCCTGGGATCGAGCCCTACATCGGACTCTCTGCTCAGCGGGGAGCCTGTTTCCCTTCCTCGCTCTCTGCCTGCCTCTCTGCCTACTTGTGATCTCTCTCTCTCTGTCAAATAAATTAAAAAAAATCTTTAAAAAAAAATGAGCTGTACGGGTCATTGTCCCAGGGTCCTGGGATGGAACCCTCCATCAGGTCTGCGTCTCCTCCTCCCTCTGACCTTCCCCTGACTGTGCACACTCAGTCTCTCTCTCAGGTGCATATATTTAAGAAACAATCTTAAGAAAGGAGCTGTGTGGATGTGTTTGCATCAGGAAGGGTGATCAGGCCATCTGCGTGTGCAAAGAGCACAGGACGGGAGCCGAGGCGTTGGGCGTGCATCGCGGAGCCTGTACCCTGTACTGACACTCGGCTAGGCCTGCCATGCACGCACAGCCCATGTGGTTTGTGTGTCGCGGGCAGTGGCGTTCGCGGGGCCTTTCCAGGAAACTCTCCACTGCCAGCCTTACTCACTGTGCACTCTGGGATGGATGGATAAGTATTTCTAAATACACGCACATTTCAAAAACAACTCGGAATCACTTTAACACAACTGTAAATCCCCAAATCAGTGCTGCAACTGCAGATTTTTCTCTCTCTCTCTCTCTCCTTGCTGTAAGAATTCCAAGACGGAGAATTCACCCGTCTTCCTCAAGATTCTCAAAACCGCACACCGTTTTCAAGCGTCTTCCGGCCCTGCCACCTAGCACATTCCTGACCGTCTCACTTCTAGCAAGAAACAGCAGACCATCCGGCTCTGAGCGATCTTCAGTGTACAAGCGCCACGACAGGATGAAAAGTCATCTCTGCTTTCCCAGGAAAACAAGGAAAGAGAGGGGAGCAGGGCTTACAGACATGTTGCAAATGAACTGTGCCCTAACTGTAAAAAGAAAAACAAAAAAGAAAAGAAAGTTAAGGTTCTTGAGGGAGACGCAGGGACTGGGTCATCACGCATGGGCTGACGTTTCAACAGCCGCTGAGATAAATCTGTCCCTGATTCTGAACAGGAAGAGGCAAATCCACCGATTACATCTTGAAGCAATCCCCCCACGGATACGCTGTTTAGACAACACCGGAACAAACACGGTTCGAATGATTTTGGATCTCGGGACGCAGTGCAAGGAATGCATATGATTTCGAAAAGCCCAGATGGAGTCTCAGCATAGGGCCAGCCCGACTGTCCCTGGGGTGGCGGGGAGCCTCACACAAGACGAGATTTTGCTGAGACGGGATCGAGACAAAAGACGACACAAAGCCAGCGCGTTAACGGGCGCTGGCCCTTTGCCGTGATTTTGAGCAACGCCGCGGAAGCTCCCGAGTGTAATCCCCTCGGCGGGAGGGCACGGTACCTGGCATCAGACCCGCGGTGGGGAACACTTCCTTCAGCTTCGTCTGGCTTTCTTCCACCAGCTCCTCTTTGGACATGGGGAGCTGCAGGACGTCTATGATGATCTGGGCTGCCTCTAGCGCCTTTTTTCCCATAACCAGGGACTTGACCTCCCAGCTGTATTTCTTTCCGTAGCGGTCACATATTTCTTGGAACACCACGGAATAGAGCCGCTCGGTATCTGCAGGGAGAGAGATACGGCGATGGTGAGGGGGGCGTGCTGTGCGAAGGCGGACCCCCGGCCCGAAGAGCACGGGGAGCTGTGGAAATGCTGGCAATGCCGCAGGTCATTCAGACAACAGGGCCCGGGGTCGCCCCTCTCTGTTGGCTGCAGTGTGTCTGCAGCTGGGATCTGGAAGGTTGAAAACGGGGAAAGAAAGGAGGCCCATTTTCTGGGGAAGCAGGCTTTGATACAAACTCGGTGTGTCTGGACCTGGCGTGGTGAAGGCCATCCCGTGAGGCCATCGGCTACGACTGAAGCGGCGGCGAGCAGGCAGCACCCAAGGGTTGTGCGGGCAGCCCTGCGCTGGCGGGGACACCTCCCTGCCTCCTTTGTGAGCAGTGAGCACAGCGGGCGTGTGGATGAGGCCCTGGGAGCCGGGAGGCTCCGTCGTGAGAATGGGGTGCGTCTGTCCAGGCTCATGTTGCTCTGCCGTGCTCTCCCCGAACCTCCCTCACAGCCCTTCTCACGCCCGCTGTGTGTTGCGGGCGGGGGGTCTCCCACACCAAGACGTGCGGGGCACCAGCCGGGTACCCGACGATCCAGCTCCCGTCCGACAGAGGTCTCACGGCCGAGGGGCTGCCCCAAACCGTAACGAGATGCCAGCGCACACCAGTCAGAGGGGCTGCTACCGAAAACACAAGCAGAGCCAGCGCCAGCGAGCATGTGGAGGAAAAGGAACCCTCGCGCACTGGGGTGGGAATGCCAACGGGGTAGACGCTCTGCACGACAGCAGAAAGTTAAGGACAGAGCTACGACACAGGCCAGCTGCTTCTGGGAATTTACCTGCAGGGAACAACAACGCTGAAGCAAACACACACGTGCCACGGCGCCGGGCTCCCGGAGGGCTCCGTCGGTGAAGCATCTGCCTTTGGCCCAGGTCGTGATCCCAGAGTCCAGGACTGAGCCCCGCATCGGGCTCCTTGGTCAGGGGGGGGTCTGCTTCTCCCTCTCCCTCTGCTGCTCCCCCTACTTGTGCTCTCTCTCAAATAAATACAAATCTTAGGGGGAAAAAAGGGCCTGTGCACCCCATGTTCACTGAGCACTATGTACAACAGCCAAGATATGGAAGCATCCCCGTGTTCACGGATAGACGGACGGATCAGGACGGTGCACAGAAGAAAGCACTGCTTAGAAGAAAGGAAATCCCGCCCTTTTGGACAACATGGACAGACCTCCACGGTGTTCTGCAAAGTCAGAGAGACACAGGAGGTTGTATGGTTTTGTCCCCTTGTGAAATGTCAAGGATGGAACCAAGAGAGTAAACAGAATCTTCAACACGGAGAACGCAGCGGTGGGCACCGGAGGGGAGGGGGGAGTGGGGGATGGGGGGTGGGTGGGGTAGGCAAAGGGGACCTGGAGGTGCACAGCGCACGGAGGAAGTAAGTCACAGGGATGGGGGACACAGCACGGGGGACACAGTCAATACTTTGTGACAGCTCTGCGTGCGCCACACAGGCTGACTGGGCTGACCGTGGGCACCGTCTGGTAATGCACAGGAATGCACGATCACGACGACATAAGCCTGAAAGTAATAAGGTATTGTGGATCGGTCATACCGGAAACAGCCAGCGCTCAGCCCCACAGGACTGCCCCAAGCCCCCAGCAATGCCAAATTCAAGCCCCGACTGTCTCCTGTGATGTAGATGGGAGGTCCCAGGACCCCGTCTTGGGCCTCGCGGCTTTGCTAGAGTGGCTCCCAGCGGTCAGGAAACGCTGACTCACTGTCCCCTGCTGTATCACACAGGGTACGCACAACCATGCAGGGAGCGTGCGCAGGGAAGACGGGCCGAGGGCAAGCTGCACAGGGAAGGGCGCGGAGTCCCACGGTCTCTCCGGTGCGCCTTTCTCCCGGCCCCTGCACGCCCATGTCTGCCAGCGGGGAAGCTCTCGGGACGCCTGTACTCTTGGGGTTTTCATGAAGGTTTTGCCACGGAGGCATGAGGCGTCACCCACCCCACCTGCAGCCCTGCACCCCCGTCCGGAAGACGCGGACAAACAGGAAGCGCCATGGTTCCCAGCACGCCTTGCTCGGCCGGTGCAGGAGCCCACCGGGGAGGGCGTCTGCACAACTCAAGACGGGCCTGTCGCTCACAAAGTACGAGGGCTTCAGGAGCTCGGTTTCAGGAACCAGGGTCCGACGACAAACATTACAGCAAGGACGTGCCCAGTGATGTTGTTATCGCTTAGGACTTTTGGACGGTTCTGGGAGCTCTGTGCCAGCAACGGGGACCCCAGACCAACACAAACGGTTTCTATTATCTCACAAGGCTAGACCGTGTCCCCAGGAAAGGCCAGTCTGGGAACTGGATCCCAGCTGGAGACTTTCGAGACAGTAAAGCTTCAGACACCGCAGGGCGCATCCCGGGGCCTTTTCGGGTTAACGAGCGTTGTAGGGCACGCCCGGTAGTAATTGGCAGTATCACGGCTCACACGCAGCCCAGGACATCAGATGCGGCACCGTATCTACATCTGTTTACGTCGACGTCCCTACATATTTAATACACGAACGGCGTTCATAATGACGCGAGCAATGACCAGCGCCGTGAGCCGGGATAGGTCCTCCAGTATTTAGTACAGGAATAAGGTTCACAGCAGTAACGCTCGCACCGCAACCCCCAAGAGCTACGATACTCCCTGGGCAAGGACCGAACACGGTGACATTCGCAGGGTGTAAAGAGGGTTGGGGACAGGCGGAGAGAGGAGAGGCCCAGAGTGCGCACGCAAGAAGGAATTCCCACGCGTGATCTCCGTATGCAGGTGCCCACACTCACATGCGTGTTCGTGTGCGTGGGCGTGCACACAGGTGTGCGTGCTATCTGGGACTGCCTGAAGTCGGCATGCTGTGACCCGCGCTCGGCCGGTGTCACCCGCAGACCTCTGCTCCTCCCCGACGCCCCGTCCGGCGGCCGCGTAGCACACGGGGCAGCAACCTCGGGCCCGTGGATGGCAGGAGGAGTGGGGCTGTGCCCCGTGAGGCACGGCTGTGGCGGTGTCACCGATGTGTCCGTGTGCATCTCCCCCACGTGATTGCTGCTGGCTTGATGGATGTCACCCTTCACACGTCCCTGTCCCTGGGCTCCCTGCACCTGCTAGGGGATCTCTGGTGCTTCCGGGTCGGACTGGGGCTTGGCAGGCACCCTGGATGCCTCCCCCGAGGACTCTTGGGGTCAGCACCAGCGGCTCCGTGGGACCCTGCTCTTCTTTCAGTGTTCAGGGTGGGCTGCCTCCCCGCCGGCCCCCACACCTGCTTCCCATGGTGGCTGAGCCTGTTCTTCCTCCCATCGCCCCTATGAATGCGTTCTGCCAGGACCTCGCGGCGGCCTCGGTCCCCTGGACCACCCCAGACCCTCCACCCCATGGTGGGGCGCCGAACACAGAGGTCTCAGTCGCCCCGCCTCTCAGGCAGTCGGGACGGCTCACACATCACCTCTGCACGGGGGAATGCCTCTTCGGGTCTGGTTTGGTTTAGCTGGCACAGAACATGGTGAGGCTTTAGGAAAACTTTCCCGGGGTCATCTGCAGAACACACCGCAGCTGGGACAGCGGCCGGAGTGACTGGGGTTTTCTGGAACGCACGCAGCCCCTACACGCACGGTTTCTGAAGGCAGACAACGGAGGGAAGACTGGCTTGTCCCCGTCATCAACAGCAGAAAGGCGTTCCCCACCCTTCTGGGGCCTACGGGCTCTGGGAAAAACACTCCTTGTCGGTGCGCCCCGTGAGGGGGTCGGAGGAGCGGGAAAGGGAAGGACAGACACGCAGTGATGCTGCGTCTTTTTACCTTCCTCCCTCGCACATCCTCCTCTAGGACTTGAGACACGTCCGCGGCAGAAGGAAACTCCAGGCACCAAATGAGAAAGAAACGACTGTGGGGCCGTAAAAGCGAAGTCTAGCATGCGGGGAGAGGCAGCTGAGGTCCAGCGGAAAACGGACGTAGCCATCGGGGACTCCTGCTAACGCAAGCGGACGACAGAGAAGAAAGGGTGTGACAAATACTAATCCCCAAGACAGAAACACGGCGATGGCCTTTAAAATGCTTTAAACAGGGGCGCCTGGGTGGCTCAGTGGGTTAAGCATCTGCCTGCGGCTCAGGTCATGATCCCAGGGTCCTGGGATCGAGCCCCGCATCGGGCTCTCTGCTCAGCAGGGAGCCTGCTTCCCCCTCTCTCTCTGCCTGCCTCTCTGCCTACTTGTGATCTCTCTCTGTCAAATAAATAAATAAAATCTTAAAAACTAGAATAAAATGAAATGCTTTAAACGGTGTTTATTTTAAAGCCTCGTGTCAGAGCTTTTAATTTAAAAGACACTGGGCAGTGGGATTATCAATGTGCAGGGGACGGTGCAGACGGTGTTTCTTCACAATGTTGGTCAAGTCCCCCCAAACCCTCGAAGCATAAGCGAGGACGTGAACGAGTCGTTACACTCCTTGGATCCAACGACGTGGGCGCCAGCGCGTGACGGCACCCTCACACCCTCAAGGGACCGCGGTTTGAGAGGAAACCGTCCCGAAGACCTATCTTTTCATCGGGAGCACAGGGTTCCCCCCGTTCAGAAGCGAGGGAGCGAGTGCCAAGCTTTGCAACTCGGGTCTGCGTTATTGTTCAGCAGAACATCATCGCAGCATGTTACAGCGACGAAACTGCCACCGTCCTCAGGTGTGTTCAAAGAACGTTCCTCGAAAAGGCCAGCCTCCCTCTGGGCCGGAAGCGGGAGACCATGCAGCACCGGGGAGCCGCGGCAGGGGCGCTGATCACATAAGCGGGCACAGGAGGGCGCCTGACGGGAGACGGGACCCTGGCCAGCTGGGCAGGGTGGCCGCAAGCCAGGTGTCATAGTGGGCGGCATGCTGCCCTCCCAGGTGGGGAAACGAGCCACTGAGGTTTAAAGTCACTGAACCAATGCCAAAAGGCAACCCGGTCCTATACCTGGATAACGGCTACCTATGCACGGTGACCTTGAC